GGGTCTCATGTTTCCCTCTGGGGAGGGGGTAAACTTTACTATAGTTTACATAGGGAAATCACATTTTGGACTAACATTTGTTTAATTGCCATTGGAAGTAATTCAATTTGGGTTAGAATTATCAGTATTGGAAAGCAGTTTGATGGTATGCACATATCAGCCCTGACTGAACCCCCGGGGCTGATGGGTGGGGCCAAAAAGGGTTGAATTGACTGAAATTTCAAAAATCTTCTTCTCAAGACCAGATATGGTAGAATCAAATACTCTTCATAGATGGTAGGGTCTTAGGGTGCTTTACCAAAATTGTGAATTTCATGACCCTGGGGTCTCACGTTTACCCCTGGGGAAGGAGGGGGGGGGGCAAAATTTGTTATGGTTTATAATGGCAAATGATGCTTTGAATATTACATGTTGATAACTTGATTGGAATTATAACCCTAAGTTGTCAGTTTGATACTTTGTAAATTTTGAGCCATCCCTACCCCCAAGGGCTGTAGGGTGGGGCCCAATGGAGTCTGTGTGCTAAAATAAAATTTCTTCATTTTCGTTGTTTAGAATCAGAGGTGCTAGTTTCAAATACTTTTCAGTCTTAAATCTGCATGCTAGATATTGAATAAGGTGATTTTATTGTTTTTTGTCACTTTGAATAATATTTCTGTTCATGTTAAAAACAAAAATCCACTCTCTGTATAAATATATCAGGTGACCGTTAAGGCCCATGGGCCTCTTGTTATAAAAATCTGCCAATGCCTTCATTCCAACTTAATTCGTTCTGTATAAACACTGGATATCCAATAATAATCATAATGTTGGCTGTTCGGTAAATTTAAAGATCTTTCGTGATACATGTTAGTAGACAATGATCAATTATCAAAGGCTTATTATAGTTAGCTCGTTAATTACCGATGTCTGATTTTGTAGTGAGCGAGCAGACTCCTCTGGGGCTACTGGTCAGAGGTTAAAAGAGGGTGCAAGCATCAACAAATCACTGGTCACTCTCGGGTCAGTTATCAGTGTACTCGGTATGTATACAGCAAAAACTTCCTGTCTATAAAGACCACCTGTGTATTACGACCATCTAAAGAATACGTTTTTGTGTTATTAAGTGTTGATCACTTTACAATGACAATCTGTCTATTAAGGCCAATCGTCTATTTTTGTAAAGGCTGGGTTTGATCCCTTCTTAAGGGTGGTATTAAAAGACAGATTTTACTGGACCTGAAATCATGCTTTTCAGTAACTTTTATCTAAACAGACCAAATTAAATGATATTTTTAACTGGCAAACTTTTGTAAAATAACGCATGAGATATATTAGAATAAGGTGATATGAACATGTAAAATCAGAACTGAACCGGTCATTTCGACTGTTCTTGATGAAAACCCTTCATTAAATGCATGTTTGTAGTGTCTACCTTTTCCATATCAGGTACAGTATATATCTGCTGATCTCCTCCCCTGAATTTTGCCTTGACAGAATCGCAAGCTTGCAGATGATACTTGACCTGCATGCCTGTGGTCTTGGAGTAATGTTCAATTATAGAGTTAAAATTGAATCATGTGACAGGCTTTGATCTCAGACTATAGCTCTTTGATAATCTGATATTTAAAGCTCAGGTACGGCTGTCTATCAGTGTTTTCATTGGTCAGTTATTTTGGAAGCAATCATATATTGTTAGGTTACTGTGAGCCGTTGTCTATGTCACGACATTCCAAGGGTGCCGAGTAGATAATGGAAGTGTAACCCTTTTATTTTGAAGATGGTGCAAGTTTTTCACTTATTTCACGTTTGCTTATATATGAATCAGTGTTAAAAGTATGTTAAATATTTTCCTAAAAAGTGTCTATGAACATGTTACAGCGGAGATATCGGAGAAGGGAGGTAAATCCGGCAAGACATTTTTCATTCCGTATCGAGATTCCGTCCTGACTTGGCTCCTAAAGGACAGCCTTGGAGGAAACTCTCGAACTATCATGGTGGCCAGTAAGTACTCATGAGTGTTGACATACCTTGTATCCCACATATTTAAGATAAATACAAACACAGAAAAACATGTTTGTAACTATCCTGAGAGGATCAAAGTTATTAGTTCACCATAGTCTTAATTTGTTAATAACGATTCGATGCTCTTACGTGGGGTGTCTTTATATAAAGCATAATTTTGCTACAAGTTCATAGTAAATTTAAACATGTTTTATTATAAATATTGCATATCAAAATGATTTTTTACTTAACTTACTTGTTCAGTTATTCAAGAGGTAGGAATCATTTTGATATCAACTAACTGCATCTACTGCAATACTATAATGTATTAAAAATGAAAATGGGAAAATCTTAATAAATGTTTTATAAATGACAAAAATTAACTTGCATGATCCCACTACATTTTGTAGATAACAAATTTTAGTATTACTACCATGGTGCTGATGTCATAAAGGAATAATGGCGTATACAGCCTTAATGAATATTTTCCCTTTATGATGAAAAGTTTTAGGTTGTTATTATAATTTGTTGTCAGTTAATGAAGAAAGGTCGTTTTAAAGAAGTTTAGAAGGGCAGAATTGTTTTTTACTACCATCTCTAGAACTGTTATGAAATATTGATGATGAAATTGTTTGATTTATTCAGCGATATCACCTGCGGATGTGAACTACGCAGAAACTCTGAGTACACTACGGTATGCCAACAGAGCCAAGAACATCATCAACAGGCCTACTGTGAATGAGGTAAGAACATCATCAGCAGACCCACTAGGCATGAGGTAAAACATCACTAAGCAAACTATCTGGGAATGAGGTATTAAATTAAACATTCATATGATGAATGGATTGTTTTCTGAGATGTCTAATACAGTGTATTTGTTGTATTTTTTGTAATGTTTTTCAATAGTTTTTCTCCCTGTTAATCTTAAATTAAAATACTTGAAATTATTAAAAGCGTGTTGTTATTTGAGAGAAAAAAAGAGAATTTATTGAAGTTACTAAAGAACTAAGAATAAGTTTGATAATTACCTTTTTGTTTATGTTAAGTTATATTTCTCTATCAAAACAAACTTCTCATTTAGATTGATATAATTTTGCAATTATAGAACAGCTGTTGTGATTGAATAAAATTGATGTTATAATAATAATAAAAATAGTGTACAACATTTGATATAGCGCCCTATCTAGCTAGAATAAGCCACTCTAAAGCACTTTACAATAAATGTTCATAGATATACAATTTATACAATCAATACAATTTGCATATGCATAAATCAATGCAATTTTCAGGAATTTGCAGGAGCTGCCATATCAGGTGCTAACTACTAGTCCTATGCCACCTGGCTAATATCTCCCTATGTGTGTATGCCTGCGTGTGAGCTGGAGATGTATTGTATTCTGTTTGTAGTGGGACCATTCTTCCAACGGTATCATTTATTGTGCCACCTCACTTGAATGCTACAGCACAGATATCGCAACACCCACCCGAGACCATTGTATACCCCACCGGGGTTGTTGGAGTTGCTGCTGTTATAATCAATCTCTCATTGTTTATTTAGGATCCCAATGTGAAGTTGATCCGAGACCTGCGAGATGAGATTAACAGACTAAAGACTCTGCTGGGTGGCAATATCGTAAGTTTCCCAGCATTTCTGTAAAGGAGCAGATCTACCTTTTAGCTTAACATCAGTTGTTGATAAGATATACCTGCTTTATATGATAACGGTAAAAATCTGAATACTTATCAGGTAATTGTTTTTTTTTGTGTAGAAGGTATATATAGACGTTTGATGTACATGTAGGTCATGTATGGACACTTTGGCATCAGAATCATGAGTTACTGTAGAATAGATAGAATTTATTGGATGCGATGCTATACACTTTGAGCCTGAGCAGAATGGTTCATTTGACAGAAAGAGTTACTTTAGGATGTCCAGGTAGATTAATTAATGAATTAATTATAATTATATGTTTCATTTTGGACCAACCCTTGGTTAAAGAACTGATTGTTGACATCAGTTTTGGTATTACCGCAGTAATCCAGTCATAAGCTCATGTGTTTATATGTGATTTCCTGCTATGATCCAACTATCCTTTTATTGCATACAACCTGAAGTAAGATAGAAATTTTAGGGGAAAGTGTTGAATTGGCGATTTCCAACCATCACAGAAAGTGTTGAAATAAAAAAACCACTAAAAATACCCGTTATGCAGTTTACTACTTATATATATATTTTTAAATTGAACTGAAAAAAAAAGTACATACATGCTGATTATAAACTGTTTGAATATTGTGTAAATATTATCAATGAGGAAAGGAAGGGACAAATTGAAATACGCTCTGTTGTGCTCAGCATTTTCTATATATAAACGGACATTTATATGAGAATGATATTTTTCCTTGCAGGACAACATTTCAACTCCTAAAGTTCAGGAAAAGTTGCATGAAAATGAAGCAAGGGTAAGTTTTGCTCTGTTCACCATGAAAGGCAGCAATATTGTTGTTGCGATGTTAATCTGGACACTTTAAGAAATGTTCATCAAATCATTATAGAATCAGCATGTTTCTGTGGACCAAGGCAAATGATTAGTTCCATAAAGAATCTTTGGTATCGTCTATATTGTGTGTCTTTTTCAAGGAAAAAAATTGATGAAACAAATGTTGATAGATATGTGTTAAGAAATAGAGAATACATTTTTGCCTCGCAGCAATGAAGTCGCGGAAGCGAGACTAAGGTGTGGATTTTTATGGCGTCAACATTAAGGTCTTGGGTTTAATTTAGTTTCATTGAAAGTATAAGTGCTAGACCAACTAAACTTAGGTAGTATATCTCAACCCATGCATCAAATGTTGGATGCGGCCTCACTTTCACGGTCCATTGACTTTGTCAGCATCTTCATCGACATTAAGTTTTTGCGTTTAAGTTAGTTTCTCTGATATGGACATTGATGGTCAAAGGGGCACAGGCGTGACATAACAATCCAAATGCCTTGTAATATTGAAAAATTATTAGAAAAGATAACATAAAAAATCTATACATTACCACTTTAATGCATTCATTGTAAAACATGTGATGGTTTCGTTTTTCCAGGTTAAGGTATTGACAGAAGAATGGGCAGGAAAATGGAATGAGACTCAAAATATTTTACAGGTAATTATACAGTTTTTGTTGCTGCTAATGTGCACCATGATCAGAATAAAAAAAAAATAGGATTTCAGGAAGTTCTCTGTTAAATATGAAGAGGTACAATGTTTCCTATCAAAAAATGGAAATAAATTCTGACAAATATCATGTATTATTTCAAACAATATTACGGAAATTTTGCATATATTATAGACCACTGATGTTATCACATGCGACAGCATGGCAGATAAATGAGTATAAAATGAATACATTATATATATTAAAATATTTTTAAAGTTTCAACACAACCCTGAAGTTGGTCTTATAAAACTTAAGTTTTTTCCAGGAATTGATGAATGAAGAAATATCACAATAAGCAGTTTGATTAGTGTACTCAATTGAATTGTATATACTCCGGTAGTGTGAGAAGAATTTTCATGTGAATTGAATACAATGTAATTCAGTTTGTAAACATCTGATATGTTTAGTACATGTGTCAAAACAAAAAAGTAACATTTATATAGAGAGAGGTATTAAAGCTTATAGATCTAGATAAAATATGGTAACATATTTTAAGGCTTATATGTTTAAAAGTGAAATTGAACTGTAAGCCATTCTGAAATTTACATCCACCACGATTGCTGCTTTCGCTATCTTTTGTCTATCATATGCACCCAGATAAGTGCAAGCCATTACCTGGTATTGCCAGAGTATCTATTGTTTACACTTGATATGTACATTGTGCACACATCATTCCCTCATAATTATGAATTTAATTATAATTAGTATATGGAAGCACCTCACTTTGGAAGCATATTTAAAAACATTTCCGAAAATCCTGGAAAAATTCACGATAAATGGTTGCGACCGAGGACTGGTTTTGGATTGTTCTTGTGGATATAGTGCACACCCCTTTCTTGACACTTTCATTTTTCCTTTAAAAAAGTGTGCACTATACACAAATTTTGACGATATTTCTATTTCTTTATGACTTTAGGACCAGACACTTGCCATACGTAAAGAGGGACTCGGTGTGGTGTTGGACTCTACTCTTCCCCACCTGATTGGTATAGATGATGATATCCTCAGCACAGGGATCATGTTGTACCATCTAAAGGTAAGCAAGCTCTCTTAATGTAAAATCAGCATTTAAGCTGGCGATACCTGCTTCCTTCACAAAACAGAAACAGATATCACCACTAAAATAGTTGTTGTTATTCTGTATGTATTAACGTTGTCAATTTGACGAATTTGGTAGCTTTTCCAGAATTTTATATTCAATTCATTGTTCATTTAGTATCTAGAATCAGTATCTGAAAACCCTTTTTGTACCATTGCTATGGATGTTTGGTTGCAGGAGGGAAGTACCATTGTGGGAAGGCCGGACTCGGAGGAGATGCCAGATATTGGTAAGGATCAGATATCTCATACTGCCAGTTTATTGTTTTTAATGTGGTTCACAGAGGGTATTTGAATCAGTCCCATCTACATGTAGTTATTTTAGAACTATAAAAATTAAATGAATTAAATTTGAAGTTGATATGTTGTCCCCTTGCGGTTGTTTCTGTGGATTTCTTTAGTTAAACAAAGTCTGTGAACAAACTTGAGGAAAATGGTTTCTGTTCTAAATTTATTCATTATTCCACCATAAATTTATCAGATACTTGTATCCAAAGTTACTTGCCAAATTCGAATGAAACTCCATATGATGTATTGATGCATAAATGTGCAATCTATTATCTCCCTGATCCAACACCCAAGATGGTTACAATGTGGCCTCTGCTAAAGACGTTTAGAACTAAAACATGGGCTGACATTGTAAGACTATTCCGTCTTTTCGTATTGCAGAGTTATATGCTCTTGTGAGCAGGTATTGATTGTTACGTCATTTGTTTGTGAGAGTAACGTCATCAATTTTTGAGAAAACGATGTAATTTTCTCACTCAAACCAATGACGTATTACAATCGATACCTGCTCACAAGAGAAGATAACTCTGCAATACGCACTTTAGATCAAGTGATCAGCTTTTAAATTTTGGAATTTAAGACTGGTCAAGACATAAACAGATTCTGTTCATAGTTAATTTTGTAGGAGTGATGCTTAGCAGGTTTGATTTTAATCAATGATCAATTTTAAATTTACAGCTTTAACCTGAATTCTAAAAGGATAGTGCATCTCTAGCAAAAATGTATCTATTGCAATGGCAAGGATGGTTAGCATACTATGTAGCAGTCTTTGTCGCAGTAAATCAGAACTTATTGAATAGTTTTAATACCTGGTCTAACACCATTCGATAAATGACACATTTAATGTTTAACACAGAGATAGCTGGGATAGATGTCGAAGAGAACCACTGTGAGATTGTCCATAAAGATGGGGAGGTAACTCTATACCCACTGCAGGGGGCCATGTGCTCCATCAACGGCTCAGTGGTCGCCGATCCAGTCAAGCTTACTCAAGGTAAGGTTCTGTGACAATATCATAATTTACACCTACCACATCATGATCATAATCACTAAAGTCCATTGCTTTATATATACATTCAAGTATGTTAACTACCACTTTTAATGGCAATGTAATGAAGATGCTTGAATGTGTTGTAGAAATTTATGATAATAATTTGAGGTTCTTATATACCGCTTCATCACAACCTAGTTACTAGGTCATCTCAAAGCGGTTCACAAATTATTATCCATGGTTATAGGGCCTTTGCAATCAGCCAATATCTTTCTCAACTCTCTTGGGAGCATACAGCCGGTGCTGCCATTTTTAGCGCTCACAGCTAGCATTCAACAATTATAGCACTGCCCAACCACAAACTCATTTACAGCTGAGTAGACTGGAACAAGTGTAGTAAAGTATCTTGCTTAAAGATACAACACAGTGCTGTGCTGTGCTGTGACTCAAACCGACAACCCTTCGGTCACAAATCCAGCATCCTACCACTAGACTACTGTGCCGCCTATCTTTTTTAGATAATTTGTTTTTAAAGACTTCTTTATCAAGTTTCATTGTAATTTAATAAGGGGCTGTGATTTTGATGTTTTGTTTAAGGGGCTGTGATGTTGATGTTTTGTTTAAGGGGCTGTGATGTTGATGTTTTGTTTAAGGGGCTGTGATGTTGATGTTTTGTAGGGGCTGTGATTTTGATGTTTTGTTAAAGGGGCTGTGATTTTAATGTTTTGTTTAAGGGGCTGTGATGCTGATGTTTTGTAGGGGCTGTGATTTTGATGTTTTGTTTAAGGGGCTGTGATGTTGATGTTTTGTAGGGGCTGTGATTTTGATGTTTTGTTAAAAGTTGCTGTGATGTTGATGTTTTGTTTAAGGGGCTGTGATGTTGATGTTTTGTAGGGGACGTGATTTTGATGTTTTGTTTAAGGGGCTGTGATGTTGATGTTTTGTAGGGGCTGTGATTTTGCTTGGCAGGACTAACATGTTCAGGTTTAATCATCCTGCTGAGGCTGCTAAGATGAAACAAGAACTCCAAAGTGTAAGTACACTTAGTACTACCTTACATCATCAGTGCCAAGTCAAAGTGTAAGTACACTTAGTACTCCTTACATCATCAGTCCCAAGTCAAAGGGAAAGTACACTTAGTACTCCTTACATCATCAGTCCCAAGTCAAAGTGTAAGTACACTTAGTACTCCTTACATCATCAGTGCCAAGTCAAAGTGTAAGTACACTTAGTACTCCTTACATCATCAGTCCCAAGTCAAAGTGTAAGTACACTTAGTACTCCTTACATCATCAGTCCCAAGTCAAAGTGTAAGTACACTTAGTACTCCTTACATCATCAGTCCCAAGTCAAAGTGTAAGTACACTTAGTACTCCTTACATCATCAGTCCCAAGTCAAAGTGTAAGTACACTTAGTACTCCTTACATCATCAGTCCCAAGTCAAAGTGTAAGTACACTTAGTACTCCTTACATCATCAGTCCCAAGTCAAAGTGTAAGTACACTTAGTACTCCTTACATCATCAGTCCCAAGTCAAAGTGTAAGTACACTTAGTACTCCTTACATCATCAGTCCCAAGTCAAAGTGTAAGTACACTTAGTACTCCTTACATCATCAGTCCCAAGTCAAAGTGTAAGTACACTTAGTACTCCTTACATCATCAGTCCCAAGTCAAAGTGTAAGTACACTTAGTACTCCTTACATCATCAGTCCCAAGTCAAAGTGTAAGTACACTTAGTACTCCTTACATCATCAGTCCCAAGTCAAAGTGTAAGTACACTTAGTACTCCTTACATCATCAGTCCCAAGTCAAAGTGTAAGTACACTTAGTACTCCTTACATCATCAGTCCCAAGTCAAAGTGTAAGTACACTTAGTACTCCTTACATCATCAGTCCCAAGTCAAAGTGTAAGTACACTTAGTACTCCTTACATCATCAGTCCCAAGTCAAAGTGTAAGTACACTTAGTACTCCTTACATCATCAGTCCCAAGTCAAAGTGTAAGTACACTTAGTACTCCTTACATCATCAGTCCCAAGTCAAAGTGTAAGTACACTTAGTACTCCTTACATCATCAGTCCCAAGTCAAAGTGTAAGTACACTTAGTACTCCTTACATCATCAGTCCCAAGTCAAAGTGTAAGTACACTTAGTACTCCTTACATCATCAGTCCCAAGTCAAAGTGTAAGTACACTTAGTACTCCTTACATCATCAGTCCCAAGTCAAAGTGTAAGTACACTTAGTACTCCTTACATCATCAGTCCCAAGTCAAAGTGTAAGTACACTTAGTACTCCTTACATCATCAGTCCCAAGTCAAAGTGTAAGTACACTTAGTACTCCTTACATCATCAGTCCCAAGTCAAAGTGTAAGTACACTTAGTACTCCTTACATCATCAGTCCCAAGTCAAAGTGTAAGTACACTTAGTACTCCTTACATCATCAGTCCCAAGTCAAAGTGTAAGTACACTTAGTACTCCTTACATCATCAGTCCCAAGTCAAAGTGTAAGTACACTTAGTACTCCTTACATCATCAGTCCCAAGTCAAAGTGTAAGTACACTTAGTACTCCTTACATCATCAGTCCCAAGTCAAAGTGTAAGTACACTTAGTACTCCTTACATCATCAGTCCCAAGTCAAAGTGTAAGTACACTTAGTACTCCTTACATCATCAGTCCCAAGTCAAAGTGTAAGTACACTTAGTACTCCTTACATCATCAGTCCCAAGTCAAAGTGTAAGTACACTTAGTACTCCTTACATCATCAGTCCCAAGTCAAAGTGTAAGTACACTTAGTACTCCTTACATCATCAGTCCCAAGTCAAAGTGTAAGTACACTTAGTACTCCTTACATCATCAGTCCCAAGTCAAAGTGTAAGTACACTTAGTACTCCTTACATCATCAGTCCCAAGTCAAAGTGTAAGTACACTTAGTACTCCTTACATCATCAGTCCCAAGTCAAAGTGTAAGTACACTTAGTACTCCTTACATCATCAGTCCCAAGTCAAAGTGTAAGTACACTTAGTACTCCTTACATCATCAGTCCCAAGTCAAAGTGTAAGTACACTTAGTACTCCTTACATCATCAGTCCCAAGTCAAAGTGTAAGTACACTTAGTACTCCTTACATCATCAGTCCCAAGTCAAAGTGTAAGTACACTTAGTACTCCTTACATCATCAGTCCCAAGTCAAAGTGTAAGTACACTTAGTACTCCTTACATCATCAGTCCCAAGTCAAAGTGTAAGTACACTTAGTACTCCTTACATCATCAGTCCCAAGTCAAAGTGTAAGTACACTTAGTACTCCTTACATCATCAGTCCCAAGTCAAAGTGTAAGTACACTTAGTACTCCTTACATCATCAGTCCCAAGTCAAAGTGTAAGTACACTTAGTACTCCTTACATCATCAGTCCCAAGTCAAAGTGTAAGTACACTTAGTACTCCTTACATCATCAGTCCCAAGTCAAAGTGTAAGTACACTTAGTACTCCTTACATCATCAGTCCCAAGTCAAAGTGTAAGTACACTTAGTACTCCTTACATCATCAGTCCCAAGTCAAAGTGTAAGTACACTTAGTACTCCTTACATCATCAGTCCCAAGTCAAAGTGTAAGTACACTTAGTACTCCTTACATCATCAGTCCCAAGTCAAAGTGTAAGTACACTTAGTACTCCTTACATCATCAGTCCCAAGTCAAAGTGTAAGTACACTTAGTACTCCTTACATCATCGGTGCCACTCCTATGTTTTTTCTGGCGTTGCAGCAATGCCATTATCATGGATAGGATATGTGTAATGATGGACAGGAAGTGAGTTTTCAGTTTTGCAGTCTGATTGGAATTACTGAAGGCAAATTAAATTACATACATTCAGTGGCTACATTGGCAACTGACAGCATGGACACTGGGTGTGACTGCTTTCTTACAGGGGACAACCCTAACTTAGCTTAGATTTTGGTGATCATCTGTCAAGGTTAAAAGGTCAAAGTGGGGAAAGGGGGGTATAACATTGTATATCAATGTTAAAGCCACCACTCAGGTGTTTTTTTATTCAAATTATTTAAGCTATGGTCATAATAAACATTAATTTTGACTGTTTTAACTTTGTTTTCTATTTAATTCTAGTGTGGATTGAGTTTCTCCCGAACATCCCTTCTGGGTCACTCCATGACAGACCTGTATAAGTCTTCTGAGAACCTCTCCCTCCTGGCCGCAGGGTAGGTGTTCAACATATTACATGGATGGAGTTAATGTGGTATCACTGATTTGTTTACTTTTGTTGTTCTTTCTCATTTAAACTCAATGTAAAATGTTGTTGTTATACAAAAGATTCCCTATAGATTTAATACATTGTATTTCATTCATAATTATCTTTTAAAACTGTACAGTGATTAAGATTTACCCAAAAATATGTACATTAAAGATGTTTTACCCTGGTTATTTAAATGTGAATATATTTGATGACGGAGAATGTTTTTATTAAAGCTAAAAAAATCACTTTTGAGTTCACTTTCGTAATGTATCGTTATTTTTTCCGAAAACAATTTTAAAATATTTTAAATGTGCTTCAGATTTGAGTTGGAACAGAATAATCAAGAAGATTTAGCCAAGCTTGAAGATAAAAGGTAAGTTTTTCATTATAATCAGAGCATTTTATCATCATTTCTGCATTAAAAAGCATTCTTTTGTTTAATTTAATTTAATTGTTTAGAATTACAAAATGTAGTTTTCATTTTACATTTATAGCATTTTCAGTGTGTATCTTACATATTCTTTTCATTCAGTTTTTACTTGGAACAAATTTGTTTCCTCAAATTTATCTAAGAAATACAGGTATGAAATATTTCCTTTACTTATCTCTATGGTACTGTCAATTATTTCATTTATTTATATATATATAATTATACTTCTGGCTAAATCCAAGCTGTATTTGTAAGTATCAGAATTTTCTATCAACACATGTGCCATTATTATCATCAAAGAATTCATGTTTTCACATATAACCAAAGAGTCGCTTCTTGAATTAAAACCATATTTTTTTTGCTGAATATTGATGATCTATATCATTTCACTGACCAAAATATTTTAATCAGTAGATAGAGTTATTCTTTAAGATACTTTCTTAATGATGTTAATTATCACTCCATAACATTTGTGTTAGATACTGATTTAGCGCTAAAAGTCTATAACATTTGTGTTAGATAATGATTAAGTTTTGTAAATGGCATGCGTTGCTTTCGTTCGCAGGAATATGCAATATTTGCGTGCTCGCAATGTTCAAGTGTGAGTTTAAGCTTTTTATGGAATGTTTTTCCCATGACCTTCGTTGGGTACATTCAAGAACTGGTGTGGATACGTAGTGGAATCTATACAGCTATCTGCACAGTGCTAGTTACTAAAATATTCTAGTTGCACTTAAGATATATAAAATTCAAGAAATGAAAATTTCAATTTAAAAGACTGTTTGGCAATTATTAATTTGTTAAAAAAAAATTTTTTTTTTAATTTTCATAAAAATTATATACATTTTAGTGTCATACTTAAGTATGGAAAACTTTTTCTGCAAATTTCACAAATTAAAGTATCGACAAATGAACTGGATGTTTATTAACATTTTAATGAAAGTTGTTTTAAAGATCATGAATAATTCAATGCAACTTTGAATTGAGCATCAGTGTTATTTGCATTAGATCAGCTGCTTAATTTATTCAACTGAGTAAAGTTGAGTTAAACCCGGATATGTTAATAAACTAGCTTCGAAAATATCAAAATTTAGTGATAGAAGAGATAAGGAAGGAATTCAAACATGTGCCTAAATTGATACATTGGCTGACATGTAGACGATGACCAGCTGTCAGGGTATATTTGTGTACTCCCGTTCTTGGTAAGGGTCTGGCATAGCTACAGTTCCTTCTCAAAAACTTTATATATATATCTGATCCGAGTCAGGATGAACAAAAACACACTGATATAATTTTTTCTGTTAAACCAAGCATGTAGGTGATGGTTCAATATTTTACAAATTCTTTTTTTTTAGTTTATTATAAGAAGCAAAGTTATCAGACTCAGTGGATTTTTTTTTGAATTACATTGTGTATGTGGGTTTATGTTTTGCAAATTTTAAGAACAATTACTAAAATGTATCTGAAGGTTTTGATTAATTATAAATTTAAAAGAACATACCAGGTAATTCCTTACTTGTTTTTTTTATTATTGAAGTGAATACACAGTTAGCATGGGGAAAAAAGTTTCGAGAATAGTAACTCTCTAACAATTACTGGAATGTTTGACAAAGAGCATTGATTAGGTTGAAGATATTTGTATATACTTCAGTCAGAACCTCTTTCAATAAATTTAAAAGCTTTTAGAATCTTGCTTTCTTGCATATATTTCACATTTCTAATGCCTTCATATGTTGTTTAACTGTCAGAATATGTTGTCGGAATAAACAATGTTTTAATTTTTACTTGTTATGCCTTTAATATGAACATGCTCATTACTACAGCATAGAGTCACAAAGTAGGAACATCTGTTAGACATTTTCTGTGATAAAGCATAATTGTTGGAGATATCCTGATTTGAGGGTTCAGTTTATTACTTAATAAAAAGATGTAACTAGACTGTATTGTATTTCTCTTGGCTTTTCCCCTCTGTAGTATGCCTCTGTCCATTGTGTTACATAGAAAATATATCAGAATGCTGTAAAACCACAGCTCTTTAGACCTGCTTTTCTTACAGAGTGTGGTTTTCAAACTGGAAGCCTTACAATTTTGAGAGCTTTTGTTTTGTGGAGATAAATTCTTGTGTTGATACCTGCTTGCTTTTTAGGTGATTTTCCTGGATTCGTTTTTAACTTTTGAATATAAATACCAATTCAAAAAACAAAACAAAATTAGATGTGTGTAATTGTTGAAATCAAAATTCAGAAAACATTATGATGAGAAGTGTAATTATGAAAAATTTAATTGAACATAACATGTATTATGATTTAATTATTTCTGAAATATTACTGCATATACCATACCATTGCAATATATATACTGAATAATAGAATGTCAGTGTTTGCAAAGACCTAATTTGTGCTATATATAAATGTGTTTTTAATAAAAATGAAATTAATGAAAATGTTCACCTCACAACCTTTTGTGTGCCTGCCAAATCAAATGAGGAACGCATTATGCTATCATGCTGACTGTCTGTCTCTCTAAATAAACTGGTGACTACAACTAGTCTCACAGTTTTCAACCCAATCTTTCGAAACTTAGCGATTGTGATGGGAATCATATTAAGTTTAGGATGTTGTATAATGGGAATGCTGTTTTCTATTTAGTGATTTATGGCCAAAATAATATGGACAAAGGGAGGTAATCTCTAAAATAAGTTAAGTGAACAGGAAGCAGGAAACTGAATTACCTTGTCATGTTCCTGGGCATTTAAGTGAATTATGTTCTCCTGTTTCCAAACAACTAAGAAGTAATTAAAATTTCCAGAGGAATAAAATACAAATGTTATTTTCTTTCTTGTAATGGTTTCAATAATTTGATACATTTTGTTACCATTTTGAAACATTTTGTTAACATTTTGTTACCATTTTGAAACATTTTGTTACTATTTTGGAACATTTTGTTACCATTTTGAAACATTTTGTTACCATTTTGAATGATTTTGGAGGGTTTTCAGTATGAAGTTGTGCACTATGTTACAAAAAGTAATCCCTTCTAATTCCATTTTTAAAGTACTGTTGTTGAAATCTTACTGTTCAAATATCAGAATCTTTGACAATGATATATTGATACGGCATCTTTTATTCCTCCAACGGTATGTGTTCCCCTCAATTGAGGGTATGTTTTTTGCTTGGCTTTGAGGTGCCATGGATCAGTTAAACATGGGAATGGAAGAAAATCGTGTGAGTGTTGTAGAATTTGTTACAGATATATTCACACCTGCACACTTATACAGTTTCCACTTATATCTATGCTTGTGTATTGTAGATTACAGATTGGCCGTTTGGAGAAGAGACACATGAAGGCAGATGAGGACCGGGACGAGGCTCAGGATAGCCTAGAGAAATATGTTCAGGAAAAGCAGGATCAGCTCCTGATGATGCAGGAACAATTTGATGAGGTAGAAGATTTTGTTAAAAAAAAATCAGATGCAATTTTGAAACAAAATGTCATTAATACAGGGATCTTGCTTTCCTGAATATGTTAGAAAGTTGAAGATCTACCTATTATGTAAAAAGGTGGCAATTTTTTTGCTGCAATGTTTCGTTAAAACCCATATTCTGTTAAGTATATGTTCCACTTAGTACTAGTTTGAAAGGATCCATAATGATGGTCTATTGAATATCATGCATGGTTTAAATTTGTCACATGACTATATCTTGAAACTCTATTAATACATCAATGTCATATTTTTGTGCATTGATTTACAACTCATTTATTATGACTAATTTTGTCTTACTTAAATCTTAATGAAATGGCATTAATGGTTTCCAGATTACATTATTGACATCACAAAAGAGAAAATAGATAAAGAGCCAAAATGTCAGAATTTTTAATTGACAATTATCAAGGGACACCACTGTATAGTACCTTCCTTTGTGAAGTTTGCACTTAATGATATGCAAACTGTTTGATGATTTTACATTTATCATGTTAAGCTTGCATGAAATTCTGTAATTTTCATGGACAAAGTACACTGTATACCATTTATATCATAATTATATAGTTGGATCTTCTTTACCTACTTGCTTGTGGTTTTTGAGTTTTTACTTTTATAATTTTGGCCTGTTTTTCTGTTTTTACTTGATTAATGTATCAATGCCACTGATCAATGCATTACTCATGAGTTGTTTCAGAAATATTGAAAGATTGCTTAATATTTGAATTATATACAAAGTCAAGGATTGATGTTCTCAGTTGTCTTTACTAAAAGTCAAGGTGGTTGGTAGACACAGTCGTCTTTCACCAAGATGGTAGGAATTGTATTTCGTGATTGGATATAAAATGGTCTAGGGTCACATCCCTGTCGGTATTACCAGGGTATTCCAGTTTCTTCCTTAAATACACTTCCATAGGGGTTCATCAAGCAAGATGAAAATATATTGAAAAATGTTTAATTGTCATATCCCATATTTGACAGTCAATATTACAGACTGCATTCATTGTCCAAAGAATGTGATAAAATAACATCTTTTTTTTCTTCCAGGAAATAAGCATTGGAGAAAAGTTGAAGATTTTGGAGGAGAAAGAACAATTCATTACTCAGCAAGCTGCAGCCAAAACACAGAACCTTGACCAGGTATATTTTATCAGTGGTTTTTTTGGTCTATTTTTATAGCCCAAGACAGGCTGCTTTTCCTATAAAAATACTTTAATTTTTCCTAAATGAAGAATATCTGTCCAATTACAATAAAAGGAATGCTACATTTTTCCAATTCATATGCATGAAGAAACAGATTGTTGTTAAATTTTATGTAAAAAAGCAATGAATATTTCTATCTATGTCAAGGTAAAAAAAATCAATTTTGAAATGAAGAGCAACTTCGGTAATTGAGATTATTTTTTTAGCATTATAACATATATTGCTTGATTTCATGTGTCTTTTCTGTTCTGAATAAAACAAAATGATTGTGAAACAAAAGAAATTGTGAATGAACATTATCTCAAAAATCAATAAAAATAAATTCCACTCAAAAGTAAATGATTTCACAAGTCAAAATTTCAGTTTGATTTTCTTTTTCTAATTTTTATTTGTTAAAAAGATAATGACACGTTTTGAATTTCAGAATATAAATGGGTGTTTGTTTTGGTTTCGGTAAGATGGCAGTACAATGTTGAGGTTAACTGTATATTTTTGAGTTTATGATTTCCAGGACACCTGCTGAATACTATGTACAGAATGTAACTATCCAAATAAGATCTTCATGATTCGAGGGTATTTTTTATATGCAACAGGAAAGTGAGAAAATTCGCCGACAACACGAGGAGCAGACGTCACAGCTCCAGGCCCTGGTTAGCAGACGAGCTGAACTAGACAAGTTAAAGGCTGACACTGAGGTAGAGGTCACAGCTAAGGTCAAGGATCTCATGTGTCAAAAGTCACAGGTAAGTATGTGAGCACCTGTTTGGATTGCTGAGTGTCACATATATACTTGACATTGTGGACGTGTATACATTTATAGAGTTACAATCCATCTTGATTTCAATTACTTGCATTTGTCCAAAAGAAGGCCATTTGCCATTTAAGGGGGGTGNTTTTGTAGGTTGAACAGAAATTAAGTGCTGATATGAATGAACTAAAAGACATGCAATCTAAATTTGAAATTGGAAAAAGTTCTATACTGGATAATAACAATGATGTGAAATCAGAAAACCTGTCACTTGAACAGAACAAATGTGAGTTTCTCGCTCAGTGGGAAAAAGATAAAGAAGCTATGACGGATAAATGGCGTCCTCCTTTTGAAATGATTGAAGTCAAGAACCAGCATATAGAGGAAGCATGGAAGGATTTGTCAGAACATGAGAGGAAACATAAGTTACGGGAACAAAACCTGCAGGATATGAGTGATGAAGAAAGAGAGAAATTTGAACATGAAAAACATGAATTAGAAATGGCAAGAACTCTTCTGAAAGAGGAGGAAGAAAGAGTCACTCGTGAGGAGAAGGAGCTAGTTGACGACATAGAAAAGGAAATGGATGAAATGGAGCTAAAGAAAAAAGAAAAACTGAAAGAAATAGAGTCTAAGAAACACGATGTAATACTCAGCTCTGATGAGGAGTTAGGGACAATGTTACAAAGAATCTCAGAAAAGGAAAAGGTTTTGACCAGTGCACGTGAATCGGTCAACAGGATTGATAAGGAGTTGGTGTGCTGTGATGATAAATTGAGTGAGGTGGTGGACTCGACCACAGGGGAGCTGGAGGAAATAGGGCAGAGGCAGGAGAAGCTGACCGCCAACATGCTGGACGAGGAAGCGGTCAGTAAGACGCTGACCGATATCAGTAACAAGGTCATAGAGGTGGAAACTGACTACAAAAAGGAGCTGAAGACAATACAATCAGAAAGAGAAAGGTATATATCACAACATACCATAAGTGGCATTACTGGTATATCTGAAGTTATCTTTTAGTTAATCTGATCAAAAAAATTAAAATGATATAGAAAGTTTGGATGTCTTCTAATAATATTTCTCTAGAAAATCTTTTAAAATTGTGCTTTTTTCACTGTCATTAGATTTTTGCAACTTTGCTAAAATTGTCAATTTGTCAGGATTTGGTTTTCACAGATTTCAGGTTTAATGACAATTGTACATTGTACAAGTTTCTATAGTAAAGATTGATTAATTGGCTAAGATTTTGCAGGTTGTGTTTTTGCAGAAAATTTTATTTTGGAAATAAGAATTACAAAAATTTGATTCTTACAAAAAAAATTACCTTGAAGGAAGAGGCAATTTTGAAACAAATATTGATATTCCATAAAATGTAATTTGGTTAAAATTTAATATTGCAAGGGAAATTTTATGTTGATAATTAATGCTTTGATAAATCAAATTAAATTAAATTAGATTAAAAATTGTTTCTAAATACCATGGTTAATTGACATTAACAGTTGTTTCATTTTTTTTCATTTTTTTTTATCTGATCACTTATAGAAAAAAAAATCAAATAAAAAATTAATAAAGGTAAGTGATAAGATAAAAAATGAAACAAAATGAAACAAGTGTTGATGTAAATTTCAATTTACCAGGGTATTTAGAAACAATTTTTTAAAATCACTTATTGTTATAAATGTACAATTGTTATTTTTAAAGTGATGTCATTGAGCTCAATATCGGGGAAAAAACAAAACTCAAAAAGATAAGGGTGCTTGACATTGGTGTAAAGAATTCTGTATATTTGGATAACTAAAGGTTACTGATGAACAAAGAAGCTACAGCATTGTGTGAAGCAGAAGAAAACAGTGGGGAGAGGCTGTCTGAAGATGCCAGACTGGAGAGGAAGATGCAGGTAAGTAGGGACTTATTTGTTTGCTTAATATTGTGCAACATACAATAGAAACTCATAGATCACTTGTTTAAAAATTCCACTAGGTACAAATAATACCGCCAACTGTCTTAATTATATGCCCAGAACACCATATTTCAACTAAAAAATAAATCACAACTGCCCAATAACATAGGCAGTAACAAGATGGAGTCATGGTCAACATCACTTTCCAGATTCATATTTAACCACTTATGTACCAATTTAAAATAAATAAAAAATAAAAATAATATTTCAGATGTAACATAATGCTGTTTGATATCATTGAGCAAGTTGGAGTGCATCAACACTTCAAGAGAAAAGTACTGCATTTTGCAGGAAGCATTGTGATGTTGTAAAGAAAATATAATCTGTAGCTTCTAAAACTAGTATCATTGATTTAGTATTGTGAAATATTGACGCTCACTAGACCAGGCCCCAGGATCATGAAACAATCTTAAGCTTAAAATTGTCTAACATTTTGACTTGGCCAATCACAAATAATGTCATGAAAAGTGATGTCATGTGCGATTGCACATATATAGGCACTGTCACACTCTAATGATTGTAGTATTTATTTTATAATACCTAAAGGCAATCTAATTGTTGAAACAGACTATGGAGTTACCAAAAAGCTTCTTCATATCATCATCTACAATCTAATTGTTGAAACAGACTATGGAGTAACCAAAAAGCTTCTTCATATCATCATCTACAATCTAATTGTTGAAACAGACTATGGAGTAACCAAAAAGCTTCTTCATATCATCATCTACAATCTAATTGTTGAAACAGACTTTGGAGTTACCAAAAGCTTCTTCATATCATCGGTGATAGTGTCCTTTTGTTTCACTACCCAAAAACACTTGTTTTTTCATATCAATTCCAACTGCTTTTTGTATGTTCGTTTGATGGTACGCTGCATGTTTTAGAGTTCTTATCCGTCGTCAAAAGTTTATCCAAATCACCAAACTTGACATCTGCAAATCTTGCCATTCTTTACTTCATTGAGCAGACGGCCGATTGTTTCTTCTGACTATCACATGAATGAAGCGCTTGGAAATCTCACTCATCTCAGCGTTACATCTTCAAACTAATCACCGACGAGCACCTGCAGAACTACATGCGTGATGATTCGCAAGCAAAAAAATGTCGGTTGAAACAAACCATTTGCGCATCTTCTTTGCACGGTTACTATTTTGCACTGTTACACACACTGTCACCCGTTGCTAGGGCGTTGGGAAGCAATCTCCCGTTGACTCAATGTTGTAGCGAATGTGACAGTGTAAAATGAATAATTTGTTTCGACCAATCAGATTATAGGATTTTCACTAGAGGTATAAAAATAAAAATATGTAATGTTTCCTGAAATACCGTATTTTCAAAACTGCTTCAGTAAAGAAATATTTATTGTTTACTGGAGGTTGCTATCTTGAGGTTTTAATTACATAATTTCTACAGGAGATAGAAGCACTGAGGAAGGAAATGGAGGCAGGGAGATCAGATCTGGAGGAGAAACAACGACGGTTTGAGGAGGAGAGGAATGCCGAAATGGACAAGATCGAGTATGAGGTACTCAAGCTGCAGGAGATGGAGAGACAAGAGAGGTACGTGTGTCGACTGTGATGACAGTAAACGTTGAAACCCACGATTTAGACTGTTCTGTGTATATTGAAAATAAATGAAAAATTGTAATAAAATCCAGAAAATATTAATGGAAAAGTGAAAAATTTTGCAATGTGGAAAGGTATGCGTTTTTTCCTGTTGAGTGAACTAGACTGAAAATATCCACACTTGAATATTTATTTATTCGTAGACAATAGGTGTATAGAATATTTATTCGTAGACAATAGGTGTATAGAATATTTATTCGTAGACAATAGGTGTATAGAATATTTAATCGTAGATAATAGGTGTATAGCATATTTATTCGTAGATAATAGGTGTATAGAATATTATTTATTTGTAGACAATAGGTGTATAGAATATTTATTTGTAGATAATAGGTGTATAGAATATTTATTTGTAGATATTAGGTGTATAGAATATTTATTTGTAGACAATAGCTGTATAGAATATTTATTTGTAGATAATAAGTGTATAGATTATTTATTTGTCGATAATAGGTGTGTAGAATATTTATTTGTAGATAATAGGTGTATAGAATATTTATTTGTAGATAATAGGTGTATAGAATATTTATTTGTCGATAATAGTTGTATAGAATATTTATTTGTAGATAATAGGTGTATAGAATATTTATTTGTAGATAATAGGTGTATAGAATTTTTATTTGTAGATAATAGGTGTATAGATTATTTATTTGTAGACAATAAGTGTATAGAATATTTATTTGTAGACACTAGGTGTATAGAATATTTATTCGTATACAATAGGTGTATAGAATATTTATTCGTAGACAATAGGTGTATAGAATATTTATTCGTAGACAATATGTGTATAGAATATTTATTTGTAGACAATATGTGTATAGAATATTTATTCGTAGACAATATGTGTATAGAATATTTATTCGTAGACAATATGTGTATAGAATATTTATTCGTAGACAATTGGTGTATAGAATATTTATTCGTAGAATAGGTGTATAGAATATTTATTCGTAGACAATAGGTGTATAGAATATTTATTCATAGACAATAGGTGTATAGAATATTTATTTATAGACAATAAGTGTATAGAATATTTATTCGTAGACAATAGGTGTATAGAATATTTATTCGTAGACAATAAGTGTATAGAATATTTATTGGTAGACAATAAGTGTATAGAATATTTATTGGTAGACAATAGGTGTATAGAATGTATAGGTTTCAGAACAATTACCAATGTGAAGATTACCACACCACAATCAGCTTAATGACACAATGCAAACATTTCCCCATGCAAAAATTGCCACTTTTACCGTACAATTGAAATAACTTTGGTCTAGTCTGAAATCTGTTATGGTATGAATCACCACAATTAACATGATATTAGGAAGGAAATTTAAAAAGTAACGGGTACATTAACTTGATTTAAAAAAAAAAAAAAGTCTAGCGGAAAGAGAAATTACATTATTTGACCCAATTTGGTTTTAATCGATATTTTCACAGCTCTGTTTTAACAGTGGTTATATTTGCAATATTTGCAGGAGGATTCAGCAAGTCCAATACAATTCCTAGTTATTACCTAGGTCAGTTGTACATTTTCAGGCTAAATCTTACGCAGCAAGATTAATTTTGTTGTAGAATAAATGCCTTGGTTGAGCAGGAGGTGAAGAGAAGAATGTTTGAAGAGAAAGTCGAGCGAGAGAATAGGAGAAAGGTGGAGCGAAAGAAGGAGCAGCAGGACAGAGCGGAGGAGATACAGAAGATAAAGGAACAGCACAACCGAGAAGTGCGTCAGCTGAAGGCCAGGCTAGAGAAGATCAGGTACAGCCACATCTCCCTTACCCCTTCCACCACTGTGGACCATAATGGACTTACCCATATCAATTATGTATGGTAGAGTTCATTAAAGCTACATAGGGGTGAAAGAGTTAAGAGACCACCTGTATGTTTCTAAACATTTACTCTGGTTGGTGAGTATGTATTGTGACCACCTAGTGTATGATTTCAACCTGTACTGAGAGACCACCTTCATTAAGAGACCACTGTTTGAATGTCCCATGCTAAGGATGGTTACTTAATACAGGTTTGACTGTGCTATTCTCAGTACCATGTATTAAAGGGCCAGTAACACAACTGACCAGTAGTGTCTACCATTGTTATCCAGCATTACGCCCATGCTTGTTTATAACCCCACCCATATCTTTGATAGCCAAGTAGAAGTAACTAGAAATGCTACTCCATTGTCCTGTAATAAGCCCACCCCCCAATCCCAATCCTACCTCCACACAAAATTGAGTCAGAGATTATATTTATGTGCCTCAAGCTCCTGTCAGCTAATTGCAAGTCAGATATGGTAATAGCTTTTTTTTGTAAATAAAACTCTGTTTACAGGTGAAGAACACTTACACACATACAAATTTTGATCGCTATATCTTTCCTTCAGTATTCCTTCTGGACGTTTTTCAGTTTATTTTGATTTTGTTCACAAGAAAAAAAAAGAAATCTATAATTTGCAATGAACTCGATAATAACTAGCTGGTGTTTCTTTTTCTTTGAAGTAGATAAACAAATCTTATTGACTATTTAATCGTTAGCATGATACTTTTGACAAGACAATTATTTTGAATTAAGGTCTAAAACATTGTCTTTTCAGCAATGGAAAACCATCCAAATCAGCAAATTCCAGCAAGTCTAACCCTTATGCTTCAGTAATGGTGAGTACATTTTGAAGTCTAGTAGTACAGCTCTATGGTTCCACTCTCTGTGGATAGAGTTGTCTCATAACCTGTGTTGTTAGGACGGTGACGGTCAGTCTATCAATCTACCTGTGTAGTGTAGTAACACTGAAATGAATTGAAAAACTCACTGTTACATTGATTTTATGTATACCTAAATGTTTCTGTTGTGTGTTTCCTTCTTTTGAACATATCAGTGATATTTCCAGTCCAATTCCTCACCCTGTTTGCACATTGTATTTCAGTCATCAGACACGGGACAGGATGGCACAGGGTCACCTCGTCGCCACAGTGTAAGTTCAAAATTTTAAAATCATTCTCCCAATGTATTATTATCACACGTAACTCGGATAAAAAGCAAGATGTTGTGTGAGTTTTCAGATTTAAGAATGGAATACATCCTTTAATGGGAGAAGTGTAATGATTACTTTGAGTCACCTTGATAAAATAAAGTTACAACAGCCATGTGTTGTGACATCATCATTGAAATATAGAAACACCAATCAATGAACAGGTTTTACTTTTGATAAAATTATGATGGTATTTCTGGTACTTTAAAAAAAATCTTTTGTTTATCTTTACATTAATTTATCTTTGCATTACTTTTACATTGTCTTTACATTATCTTTACATGATCTTTATCTTTACATTATCTATATCTTTACATGATCTTTACATTGTCTTTACATTATCTTTACATTGTCTTTACATTATCTTTACATTGTCTTTACATTATCTTAACATTATCTTTACATTGTCTTTCAAATGTGTTACAACCAAACAATGTATCCTATAGTCATTAGGATTACTAAAAATGTTTCTTAATGACATGTTTGTTACATCTGCATTGAATTAGAAATAAAAGATGATCGGACTAATAAAAAACTTTGATATTTGAGATAAAAAGGGAAAATGATATATTCAGGTTTGTCGTTAAAAAGTTTCACCAAACACATATACTAGTACTGTCATCTGTATACTTTTTACAGAGTTTTTATGAAATGTTTAAATTTTGAGTCGACTAGTCTGGAATTTATACATTGTTATGTTGTTAATGCAAATGAAAGCAGTTACACCTTTAATTGGCATTAAATATTAGACATGGAATTAGTTTGCCTGCAAGATTTTTTCCCCACCAGAATTTTGCCATCTTGCCTTTAATATGAGTTAGCCCAGTGTTGGATTCACCCTCAGCTGTTTTAAGACTAAATGTCTTTGTGGCAGTTAAATTTTGCTCTATGTTGACTTTACCATTCTTCAACAGAGGAAAGTGTGAACATAGGAGTGGGGGAGAGAATTCCTCATTTCCCAACTTTGAGTGGTGAATTATATATAGTGAATTATATTTTTGCACAGAAAATAAAAATGAATTATTATTAGGAGGTATGGTAGTCTTGTGGTAGAATGTCAGGCTCCTGACCGAAAGGTTGCGGGTTTGAGTCACGTCACGGGACGGCACTGTGTTGTATCCTTAAACAAGATACTTTTCTATGCTTGTTTCGTTCTACTCAGCTGTAAATGTGTATGTGGTTGGGCAGTTCTTGAAATGTTGAATGCTAGCTGTGAGCGCCGAAATTGCACCACTGGCTGTATGCTCCCCAAGGAATTTAGAAAGATATTGGCTGGTTGCAAAGGCCCTATCGGATAATTATTTTTGAACTGCTTTGAGATGTCCTAGGACCTAGGTTGTGATAAAGCGGTATATAAGAACCTTGAAATAGTTATTACTTTTATCATTATCAATTAATTTGTTTCCCAGATTGAGCCCCTAGGTAGTAGTCTCACTCTGTCCGGTGACCTAAATCTACTGAAGGTTACGATTCCAACGTACCGTCTCCAAGGTTACGGATCTGACCACCATTACGAATATGAAGTGAAAGTAAGAACTTTTTTGTACTGTTTGTGTTTATATCAATTAAATAATAAACGATCAAATATTGTACATGGACATAACAATGTCAATCATGCTTTATCCTCCAAAGATTTCTTTTGTGTTAAAAATATTTTTGAGTTCTCAATGTGAATTTTTATTACAAAAAGAATTTAAAGGATTCATATATAACAATGTTTTTGTTTAAAAAAAATATATAAATATCTGTAGCTGTTTAATTTACACACCCTCAATTTCAAACTTCAAAAGTTAAAAAAGTTCTTGAAAACAAACCGTTTATGCCTAACTGTGTAAATAAATTAATGGCTTTAAAATGAGACAGGCTGGCTTTAAAGAAATTGAGTCTGGGATTCCTTACAAAAATTAAAATAAATTGCTGCTTGATAAAAAGTCTATTACAAACTTCCAGGTCATTATTGGAGATGATTCCTGGACAATTTATCGTAGATACAGCAGGTTTCGACAGGTACATCAAGACTGGAAACGCAAAATACCTGAGGTTTGTTTGTAAACAAAAATTAGCATTCTTTTTACATTCAACGTGTATTTACAAGCTTCATAAGACATAAATTTGTTAGAAACTCCTCCGCCGTTTGAAAATATTTTCTGAAAAATGATCGTTTATTTCAATATGGGGTAGTCATGTTTCTGATCACTTTCTAGAATAATTAACTCCCCGATTATCATAGAAATATTTATCACTTTTTATATTCAAAGAAATGTTAATTTCGACTTTTAGACTATTAAGACTCAGATTATATTTAAATTTGCTCTTTTACAGATAAATTCACTGGTCTTTCCTCCAAAGAAACTGTTCAGTAGATCTGAAAAGGTAGTGGCAGAAAGGCAGAAACAATTAGAGGTATGTTAATAATTTCATATTAGTTTTCTTTTCCAAATTATAGTGAAGATCATTTAAATTAAGTACTGTGATTTACTTTAGAGTTGTATCCCATTCAACATTTTTGATAAACATCGTCAAATATTCCAAAAGACACAGAACTGGAGTGCTTTTTACATATCCAGGTTGAAACAGTTCAAGTGGCCGAGAAATACTCCATCATTGACGCATGCACTTAGACCAGAACTGTGAAGAACTTATAGACAGAGATAAAAATGCACAGTTTCGGAGTGTTGTGACAAATAGAAACAATATATATCAAGAATAATAATGTTCTTCTTAATTTCACACGTCCACTTCATAAATTCATACCCTTTCCTAAAATAATGTTCTTCCATCATTAAATTCACCAAATGTGGAATTCATGGGGGAAGGGGGAACATGTAAAAGTATTTTTTTTGCATACGCCCTTTAATTTGTCAAGGTAAGGTAGAAATGGAGATGTTCCTTTGTTGGAGCTCTCCAGAAAATAGTGACTGTCGCAACTCGTACTGAAAATACTAGAGGTTTTTTTCCCTTTTTGCTTCTTGTTTCTATGGATTTCTAGATACTGCAAAAAAATACAACTAGCAATATTACAGCAAAGAAATTTGTCGTTACTGTAGCGATGGCCTCTGATGTGAAATTATATCATTTTAGCAAACCTACGAAAAATAATGAAGGGTAGTAATTTTTGTACTTCACACACAATATTTCAACAGCCTTAATTATATAGGATTAATTTATTGTTTACTGCTTTGTTTACAGTTGTACATGCAGAATTTCTTGTCCATCTGTCAAAGAACGCCATCTTGTTCCCTGCATTCCTCCAACAACAAATATCTCACCAAACAAGTTTTGTGTGACTTTGAGACTTTCTTCAAACGAGGGTTGTTTGAGGTGTCCAAACACGGTGCCACATGATGGAGTCAGCATCTTTAAAAACAAACAAAAAGAAAGTTTTTTTTCTGTGTTAAATAAGAATTTTTCTGTTGCCTCGATACATGCTGTATTTTCGGCTCTGTTACAGATTTTATATTGTGCTTACATTTCCATGCAATGGCTGGTTGAATTGTTATCATTACTGTGTTGTCACCTTACAATTTGTTACCTGTGATTACACTGCACAGCTATCGATCCAGCAGTGATTATATAAAACAGGTGGTGTTATATTTGTTACATTTCAATACTGAGGACATGTATTACTTATACCCCATTAATGACTGAACATAAGATTGTTAAAAAGGTATCTGGTTTGGAGATTAATTTTTTTTCTTCTGTGGTGTTGTACATATATAGTTTTACGAGAAATTAAGCTCAAACTTAGCTGGAAGGGAAACACCAGGTGTTAATATCGAGGTTTGGTTGTGCATTCTTTTTTATATTTACCACCTGTAATCCATATATTCTAGGCTGGGCTTGGATCCAGACGTGGTAACATTCCAAGTGAAGTAAAAATATAATTGTTATGAAATATTATTTAATCGTTAAACATTAAAGTCTATTAAAGGTATTTATAACAGGTATTATTGATTATATTTTTGCATAATTCTTTACAATATTTAGACATATTAAAGTCATTGAAATATTTCAAAATGTTTTAATGTCATATACGGTATCATATTTACATTTCCTAGTCCCATATACAAATTATCTATTAAGTGGTATTAAATATGTATTTAATAAATCATGATAATGTTATTGACAAAAAGTAATAACGAACATGAGCATGAGATTTTAATGATAAATATAAAATGGAATATTCATGAAAGTCTTGATAGTAGTAACTTTAATTAAAGTAGTAACTGTCATTGATAGAGTAACTGCCATTAAATTAGTAGCTGTCATTAATAGTAGAAACTGTCATTAAAATAGTAACTGTCATTGATAGTAGTAACTGTCATTAAAATAGTAACTGTCATTGATAGTAGTAACTGTCGTTAAAGTAGTAACTGTCATTGATAGTAGTAACTGTCATTGATAGTAGTAACTGTCATTAAAAATAGTAACTGTCATTGATAATAGTAACTGTCGTTAAAGTAGTAACTGTCATTGATAGTAGTAACTGTCATTGATAGTAGTAACTGTCATTAAAATAGTAACTGTCATTAAAATAATAACTGTAATTCAAGTAGTAACTGTCATTAAATTAGTAGCTGTCATTAATAGGAGTAACTTTCATTCAAATAGTTACTGTAATTCAAATAGTAACTGTCATTAAATTAGTAACTGTCATTAATAGTAGTAACTGTAATTAAATTAGTAGCTGTCATTAAAGTAGTAACTGTCGTTCAAGTAGTAGCTGTCATTAAAGTAGTAACTGTCATTAAATTAGTAGCTGTCGTTAAAGTAGTAACTGTCGTTAAAGTAGTAGCTGTCATTAAAGTAGTAACTGTCATTAAATTAGTAGCTGTCATTAAAGTAGTAACTGTCGTTAAAGTAGTAGCTGTCATTAAAGTAGTAACTGTCGTTAAAGTAGTTACTGTCATTGATAGTAGTAACTGTCATTTAAATATTAACTGTCATTTAAGTAGTAACTGTCATTGATAATATACTTTAATAGTGCCTCATAAATCAATCCAATGTTGATTGGGCTGTCCAAAAACCATGCCAGTGTTTGAGGGGAGAAATTAGCCCTTTCCTATACTAAATTGTTCCAGTTACCAATCAAGAAGGCTGGATTATAAATCATTGACGTTCCACTGTACCTGTTGTTTGTAGGTCATTAAATATTTGAGATTAGTCTTATAATGTTAATAGCTACAAACGCAGTACTGTTGAAGGGCTACAGTAGTAGAGTTAACTGGCTATATTTTTCTGAAGGGTTGTAAGGTTTTAGCTGTTACTATTCTAGTAGCATGCTTGTTATGTATATTATCTCATTGTTACCAATCTCATTAAATGGTGATCATTGTAGTATTATATATTTTTATGTTCTTGTTTTTATTAGTATTTATTTGTAGTAACATTATAGGTATTCTTCAGATCAAAGAACTTTATGTTGTTTTTCTATTTTCTTTCCCTGTTACTTGTTTCTTTCCCTGAAATTTTCCTTCAAGACAAATCCAAGACAAATCCAAAAACTTCCCTCTCAGAAAAATGTTAAAAAAAATGAATTAATTTTAGCGTGAGGACTTAATTTTTACAGCAATTCATTGCACTGAAAATTTCAGTGATTCAGTTTGATTATATCTTTGAATTATTTAACCACTTTTTTCTGGTTAGTTGCCAATGTCTTGTTATGAATTAATCTTTTCAAATTTTCAGATGTTGTTATAATACTAGTAAACCAAATAGAATGCTTAAACTTGTATTTTGGAAAAATATTTGTACAAAGTTTATAAAGAGTCTGTATTTTTTAAGTTTAAAAACAGCTAATGTTAAAATAAGTATCAAAAGATATGTTTGGGTCTGAAATCTAAGATAGAAAGGGAAAGCAGAAACACAGGTTTTGTGCTGTTTTGGGAAAAAAGATGGTTATTAGAATCAATACATTTGGAATTCACCCGACGTGTCTGGAAACTAAAATATTGTAACATATCCACATGGAATACATTATTGATCGCTTAAATTCTAGCATTTTGTGTACTGCAAGTTTTATGGCAATATTTTCCCAACACATTTGCCTTCTTATTTTTTTCGAGTGAATATCAATTTCGAGTAAATGTGTTGAGTAGTAAAATGAATACCAAGAGCTTGCACTAAGTGTTTTGTGGCAGCGTTATCTTAACCCTTTCACCACTGTAGACCATAATTGACTCATCCATATCAATGCATGGTAGAGTCTACTAAAGTTACATAGGGGTGAAAGGGTTAAAATGGGTAGGGTAGCCTTAATACTATTAATTTTGAACTCTTTGTGATCATGCTTATTAATAACAAACAATAATTTTCTTTGATCTTTCAAAAATATATATGATAAGATGAAGAACAAGCAATTTCTAGCAACATCCTTGATATTTTTTGATGTACAGATTTCTTATTTGGTTTACCAACTGATAATGTCAAAGGAAACTTCTAGTGTAAAAACAGGTGCCCTTTTTCAATTCTTCAATTTTCACAAGTTTTGTTCTTTCTGTTCCTTTTGAATATAACTCATTTAAACTTAATATTTTCAAACTTATTTACATTTTAAAACTTTTCATCTACATTGTAAAAATGCTGCTGCTGCTGGAACATATTACAGTACACAGTAGGTCTTGCCAAAACGCCACAGTTGTTCACTCCTCTAGATAGTTTTGTGTACATATATTAAATATTTGTTGTTGTATGAATTATTTCAGACATTGGCTCAATGCCAACAACACATTGAGTACGCCTCAGACTAAATTTGAGCTGAAGTTTAACATGTTGTTCAATACTGGTATACAGGGAATTCAGATCTAGTTCAGCTTCAAGCAAACCCAATTGTGTTGGTGGTGTTGGACCCTGGTGATACAGAATAATTCAAAGTTATATGTGACCATGCATCTAATTATGTTTTCTAAAATATTGTGTCCTTTTTATGAACGATGTTTAAATGAAAAGACATTTGTGTTGTCTTATAATACATAAGAAATATATATGTATGCATGTGGAATACTCACACATGTACTATAAAAGAAAGCATAACACCAAAATAAAGGAGCCAAACTCATTGATTAAATGGACAGCTAGATGTTCTGGCCCCATAGTCATGAAACCATGCTCAAGCATGGAATCTGTACTCAAACCAACTTTCTTGTAACTGGCTTAAATCATGTCCGACGATCAAAAAGTCAAATGTAAACATTGAAAACAGTATTCGGGTAAAAATCTCTAAAAAAAATAATTGACAAAATAAGATTTGTTAACAATTTATAACGGGAAGAAGAAATTTGGCTTGACAACGGTTTCATGAATACAGGCCCAGGTAATTATACGCTGTCAATTTCGCATAGAACTGCTTTAAGATGACCAACATGGACAATAAAGAGGCAATCTGCATATGTTTACACCCCCTGGGGTATAATTAGTACTTGCACGTGTGCATGCATCTGTTTGTCGGCCTATCCGTGCAGACTGTAGGTTCTGAAGCATATTTTAGCTGCTGTCTTATACATGGGCATCAAACTTTGTACATAGGTACATAGCACAAAAGGGGTGTGTTACATCCTAAAATGAGGTCACTGTGGCCTCATTTTGACCTTTGACATCAAGTACTCAGATGTTCTGGAACATCTCAGCTGCTGTTTCATTAATGGTCATCAAACTATAGGTACATCATGTAAAGGCAGCTTGTCATGTCCTAAAACGAGGTCAATGTGGCCTCAATTTGACCTTTGACCTTTAATTCGAAGACTAGATTAAGTGTAAATCAGGTTTCCATAGCACATATTGGCCATCATTTCGTGGATGTTCTCCAAATCGTTCAGATATGTTGGGAGCAGAGGTATATGTGAGGCCTTGCTTCAAGTAAAAGCTAGTTTATATATCTGTTCATATTCTTTCAGAAAGTGTGTGTAATAGATTGTTTGGTTAGTGTGAATGTTTCTGTAGGCAGGTTACACGGTATTTGATAGACTGTGATGACGTTGAGCAGGCATTTATAGAAAGCCTTATGGTGCTATATATGTGTTCATGAGGAATACTTGAAAATCCATTTGAATTTGTTATAGTGGCATATTTATTATATATAAATCCTTAGAAGTATGTGTTATCACTACATGTGGTTGGTTGGTTTTGTTATCTACTGTAATGTTGGAGAGTTCTAGAGCATCCTTCTTACAAGGGGACTCAATTTTATGTTAAGGGGGCAGAGGGGCGGGTCCAAATAGGGAAATAAAGGTAGAACCTTTAAAATCCTTTTTCTACCATAGGGAATGAGGGATTTCATCCAAATTTGGTCTGGAGCATCCTTGGACAAAGGGGACTCAATTTTGTACAAATGGTGAGTTTGGACCCCCTGGGGGCAGAGGAGACAGGCCAATAGGGGAAATTGAGGTAAAACCTTTAACATATTCTTCTCTTACCATAGGGATAAAAGGATTTTATCCTAATTTGGTTTTGAGCAGCCATGGGCCAAGATGACTTTATTTTGTATAAACACTAGGTGTGCCCCCTCTGCACTGTGGCCCTTCTGGATGCAGAGCGACGGAGCTCAAAAGGGGAATTTGAGGTTAAAATCGTTTAAATCCTTCTCCTTCTGTACCATTGGAGGGATTTTATCCACATTTGACCACGAGTATCCTTTTGCAAAGGGGACTTAATTTTGTAATAGTAGAGAGTGTAGCGCCTCTGGGTGCAGAGTTGCGGGGCCCCATAAGGGAATTGGAGGTTTAAGTTTTCAAAATCCTCCTCCCTCTGTACGATTTGAGGGATGTCATCCAACTTTGGCCTGGAGCATCCTTGGGAAAAGGGGACTAAATTTTGTATAAAAGAGAGTTTAGCTCCTCTGGGTGCAGAACTGCTGGGCACAATAGGTGATTTTGAGGTTTAAATCTTTAAAATCCTTCTTCTGAACCATTGGAGGTATTTTATGTATTAAGAATAATTTCCAATGGTTGCTTTATTATCCAGGTGAGCGATACAGGCCCTCTGGGCCTCTTGTATTATTTTGCTGATGAAAGGTTTTTGAGGTAAGACTGTTGGCTATAATGAAGATTTTGTGTGACTGTAAAAAAATTTGCTTTAATCGTATTCATTATTCCTTGGTAACCATGAAATCTGCAAATGTTTACACTCAACAAAAGTTTCCCGTCGTGGAGTAGTGTTTATTAAAGATCTTGCCAGAAGGAAACTGGTACAATGAAAGTTGGGCAGGATTTATTCAGTCCATTGGTATACACTTCATGAGTTTGTTTTAGCAAGGTCTTTATGTAGTGTTCATAAAGAATTTCGTTTTTTTGTTGTCATTCACCAGGAGATGTATGTACCTTGTATGATTGAATCCCATGTTTACAATGTGCTAGTTTGAAATAGATGTACAAGGCCCTACAATCAAACAGACCCACATTTTAAT